TTGCTGGGCTGGTCCGATAGTGGACAACTAACCAACTAAGAAAACATATAGTGCATGTCTAGTTGTCTCGTATGATCGTTTGCCGGTATCAATCATAAACACATTGTTATACCGGAGTAGAAGAAATGATCAACGAAAATGGATGCGCAGTGACACCCGAGACCTTCGCTGACAGAAAGTCTTAATTTCCAAAGGTATAACCAGTAGCATCGAGCCTTGGGGCGAAAGAATGCTGACGCAGTCTTGAGCTGCGAGCTCATTCGCTCCCACTAAGACGGTATACTTTCCACCCAGATGGCAGCAGCAGCTGTCAACCTTCTACTAGTGTTAAGTACTAGTAGTGAGGAACATACTTTGCTCTTGTACTCACTCCGATGAGTCCAGAAAGCTTCTGGCCGGATTGCGGACCCATCCAAGTGGATCCTCTTTCTTCTGCTTCGTCAAATCACAGTGTTGAATTCATGGGGGAAAAAGAAAGTCAAAGATGAGCTGATTTCCAGTTTCTGGCAGGCTGACCATGGCTACATAGATACCTCGTATATACTGGTTCTTACCGTTATCAAATGCCCCTCATTTGCTCGCAGCCTATAGACTATAGTACAGTACTATCCCCCATATGCAAAGTACTGATCCTATCCATCCAACAGCATGTGAAATCCCAGTTCCAGAACCCAATCTATTGGATGGCAATCTTTGTTCCACCATGTGTGCAGCCTTTCGGGTTCCCCCCTAAACGTCATTTATCAGGGATTCCCTTCCTGGACAGCTCTAACATACAGTCAAGGTGGATTGATCTACCAGCTGCGGTCGCATAAGTACACCAGGCCCAACAGCCATTCACCGTGTTTTACTTCACTTGCCAACTCAAGGCTGCATGGCCATCCTTGCCGCGCTGCCTTGTCCTTGTCCTGTGAATGAGCAGGCTGTGCCCCCAGCGACCTGATGTGGGGTTTATTAGCAGCACCTACTAATTTACAAGCGCTCATCCCCTCTCCCAACCCTTCGTTCTGCCTTTACCCTCCCTGGAACCCCCACAGCGTATCTATTTAGATTGCGAGCGGTTGTGAAGACAGGTTTTTTCCCCTCAAGAAAAGCATCTGCCATGTCGTCCGGAGGTCAGCGGGGTCGTGGTAGAGGAGATCGGGGCAAAGGCGGAGACCGCGGCCAGGGAGACCGTGGTCGGGGCCGCGGTGCTCCCAGAGGTGGAGGAGCAGGCCGAGGCTCAACCACCGAGCTTCCCATCCGTCCCGGTCCCAGTGATGGCGGTTCTAGAGGTCGGGGAGGAAGAGGTGATGGTGGTGGGGGTGGGGGTGGAAGGGGATTTGATGGGGGCCGTGGACGGGGTTCTGATAGGGGCCGAGGAAGAGGTTTTGATGGGGGTCGCGGAGGTGGGCGTGGTGGTCGCGGAGGTCGGGGAGGACGAGGCGGCTTCGACCAAGGCCCATCGGTGTACTCGTGAGTAGCGTCCCCACGCGTTTGGCTGCATTGCACCCCAATCTAACTTGATGGCTACCTTAGTCCGGGTGGACCGGTTCCTACCCCCAGTCCCCAGGTTCAGGAAACTGAGAAAGCCATTGAAACAGCCGTTCTTGCTAAGAAACAGAAGAAGGCTGCGGAGTGGCCGCTGCGACCTGGTTTTGGCACCCAGGGACGGCCTGTCACGCTGTATGCGAACTATTTTGAGCTCAAGTCAGTAGGCAAGCAGCTCTACCGTTACCACATCGATATTTCAGGGGACTCAGCTGGTAGGAAGCCTGCCGGCAAGAAAGCCCGCCACATTGTGCGATTGTTTTTGGAAGAACATTTCGCTCAATTCCGTAACAGTGTTGTTACAGACTACGTATCCACGCTTATTGCGAACCAGAAGATCCTGGTCGAACAGGAGGCCGCCGAATATGATGTTCGCTACCGGGATGAATATGAGGACGAGTACCCCGAGGATCCAAAGGTCTACCGTGTGAGATGCCAGTTCACAGGCACCCTCAACCCATCAGACCTCTTGAACTATCTCACATCTTCTGATGCTGCCGCCATGTTTGCGTCCAAGGCCGACGTTATACAGGCCATGAATATAATCCTGGGCTTTCAACCCAAGACTGATCCGACTATCGCTTCTGTTGGTGCCAATAAGCACTATGCTATCTGTGGAGGTCGTGAGGAGAAATACTCTCTCGGTGACGGGCTGGAGGCTCTCCGAGGCTTCTTTGTCAGTGTTCGTGCCGCAACTTCACGTCTTCTGGTGAACGTGCAGGTCAAGTACGTTGCCTGCTACCAAGAAGGCCCGCTGGCGCACATCTTCGGGTTGTATGAGCCATTCCGCCCTCGCGAGATCAACAACTTGCGTCGGTTCATTCGCACCCTGAGGGTGCAGGTGACTCACATCAAGAAAACTAACAAGAAAGGTCAAGCTATTCCACGGTTCAAGCGCATCGCTGGTGTTGCAGTTCCCAGAGACGGTGCCTCGCAGCCAATGCCTCCCAAAGTGCCAAGACTTGGTGCAGGCCCTAAAGAGGTGGAATTCTTCCTTGACGCTCCAGGTCAACAGCCGTCCGCATCACAGCAGACCTCGCGTTCGAAGAAAGGAAAGAAGCCTGTCAAGGCGGGACCTCAGCCAGCTGGCAAGTACATCAGTGTTGTGGACTTCTTCCTCCAAAGTCAGTGCTCCCCCACCCCCCCGGGTACCAGCCTACTCTGATGTTGCAACATCTGACATTGTCATCTGCAGATTACAATATCCAATGCGACCCAAAGATGCCTGTTGTAAACGTTGGGACAAGGGAGAACCCCAGCTACCTGCCCGTTGAAGTGTGCGAGGTCGTGCCCGGTCAGCAGGCCAACACTAAGCTTACACCTAACCAAACGCGAAATATGCTTAACTTTGCTGTGCGAAGCCCACCGCATAATGCTCAGTCAATCGCAGCGCAGGGGACGGATGTGTTGGGTCTGGGAGCGTCACCAAACCCCACCCTCGTGAGTATCTCCCCGTAGCTCTCGTGAGTGCTTTATTGATGTGTGTGTCAAGGTGGATTTCGGTATCCAGAATGATGTCCGGTTGATCACCGTACCTGGACGAGTACTACCGGCGCCTAGCGTTCTGTACAGGGACGAGAATAGGCCGAATCAAAAGCCGTTCAAGCCCTTTTCAGGAAGTTGGAACATGAGATCGATTCGATTCTCAACGTCCACGAAGCTGCCTTCTTGGACTTGGCTTTCCCTGGACTACGAAGGCGCGAGATATCCAGCCATCAGACCTGAAGACTTGAGCGCGAACCTGAAAGGCTTTACAGACAAGTTGAACGAGATCGGTGTGATTGCCAGTCCGCCAAAGTCTGGGGCGGCGACAGTTTTGACGAGGAGGGGATCCGACGAGGAGGTTAGAGAATACAATACGAAGGCCATCGATAGCGCCGTTGCCGGGCTCATTGAGAAGCACAAGCCCATGCTCATACTGACTATCCTCCCGAGCAACGACGCTGATATCTACAACATCGTTAAGAGGGCCTGCGATTTGACGCACGGCGTCCGCAATGTCAACGTTGTTGCCGACAAATTCAGGAAACCTAATAATGATCAGTATTGGGCGAACGTCGGGCTTAAATTCAACCTCAAGCTGGGAGGAAACAACCAGCTCATTGATCCCAAAGAGCTGGGCCTAATTGGACAAAACAAGACAATGCTCGTCGGTGTGGATGTTACACACCCATCTCCGGGATCTTCCTCCGCAGCCCCGAGTGTTGCTGGCATGGTTGCCTCCATCGACTCGACTCTCGGCCAATGGCCCGCGGAGCTTCGTATCCAAAAGCCCCGGGAAGAAATGGTCGCCGAGCTTGACGCCATGCTAAAGGCTCACCTTCGACGCTGGGTTCGTAATCGCAAGACCTACCCGGAGAATATCATCGTATACCGCGATGGTGTATCGGAAGGTCAGTACGAGCTCGTGGTGCAGCGCGAACTTCCTCTCCTCAAAGAAGCATGCAAGGAAGTCTATCCCGCCACCGACACCTCCAAGGGCCTCCCACGCATCTCGATCGTGATCGTAGGTAAACGCCACCACACGCGCTTCTACCCAACCAAGCTGGAGGACGCCGACAAATTCAGCAACCCGGAAAACGGCACTGTCGTCGACCGCGGCGTCACTGAAGCCCGCAACTGGGAATTCTACCTGCAAGCGCACACTGCTCTGAAGGGTACCGCCCGCCCAGCTCACTACTTCACCGTGTGGGATGAGATCTTCTGCCGAGAGAAGGCCATGCCCCCATACGAAAACGCCGCAGATATCCTAGAAGGCCTCACCCACCGTCTCTGCTACCTCTTCGGCAGAGCCACCAAGGCCGTTAGCATCTGCCCGCCCGCCTACTACGCTGACCTGGTTTGCACCAGAGCGCGTAGCTACCTCAGCAAAGTCTTCGACGAAACCCCGACCGGAAGTGTCATTACGGGCACTGACCCTGGCTCTTCTGCTCGGGAGTTCCTAAACGTCAAAATCCATCCGAATGTTTGCGACACTATGTTCTACATTTAGGGTGTGAGGCGTCGTTGATATGGCTTATGAGACTACTCATGATATTGGATAGTGTTGATTTGAGATAACCATGCCTTTTGGTATGTGATTCAGCCACGTGATGATTGATGATCTAACCTGCTTTTCATCTTATGAGATGAGATATGAGATATGAGATATGAATGGACATGGATACTTACACTATTTGGTTTGTTTACCTTGATTTACTATCTGGTATTTTGAGTAAGAACCCCCTGATTTTTTTTTTTTTTTTTTTTTGACCCACAAAAAAATACCTTTCTTCCACTCTTTCATTGATTGATAACCCTTTTTGGGATATTATGATTTTGATTTGTTTGTTTTGGATGGATGATGCATGTGTTTCACTATGTATGTACCTAGAATGAGCCAAATATGAGATACATAGTCACATAATATGATGATGGTATTCTCGATGTTTCCTCACAAGTACCTACAATGCGAATATTCTATTATGAGTATGGTATTTCATTCGTCTGGGCATACAATTGTGCCGACTACTCGTATCTAGCAGACAATGCGGAATGCAAACCATAGGTGGACCAAAGCAACCAAGGACAAGAATAATCAGCAGTGGGGAAGTTCTTACAAGAAGCGAATAAGGGACATCAAGTAAGCAATAAGACAATCATATTGAACTGTAGGTAAACAAAATACACAGCTAGAAACTGAGGATGGAAAAATGGAATCGAAAACACAACAAGAACATGTGGTTTATCATAGATCCGTGCATGCGTTGACTCTGCTATCGTTCACGGCGGGAATAAAGTATCATATGCAGGCTTTTGGGTGTGCTCTTCAGTGAAACATGATGTGGAAGACTTGTCGTCGCTGTATGGAGTTTAGTGAGTAAGGAGCGCAGGCCCGATGGTCAGTAGATCTGATAGACAGGTGGGTGTGACATTCAGCTCATTGAATGATTGGATACATCATTTAGTTCTCTCCCATATCCCAGCTGCGCTGATTGAGATGACGCATGGCGCGACGCTGGGGAGGGGCCGCCTTCTCCGGCGACTGCTCAGGGTCATCCCAGGACGACTGCATGTTCTTAAGAGCCTTCTGGCGATCTCCGGGAACAGGCTTCATGTTCTCACTGCTAACCTTGCTGTTCTGGGGCGACTCGGCGGTGATATTCCAGTGGGTTTCGTAGTCCTTCTTGCGGTTGGGGCCGTTGTTGACAACAGACAGAGGGGCGTTCTCGTCAGCGGCTTCCTCCTCATCTTGGAAGAGGTGGTTCTTATAGAGACTCAGACCCTTGTTCTGGAAGGAACTGATGATACGAGGGGCGTTCTTGTCCTCCTCGGGATCGTCTGTCAGGACGAAGTGGGTTTCGGCATCGCGACGGGGACGGTGCACCGGGGGATGGGCCGGAGGTGAAGTGAGGTCCGGCTCATCATCACTCCAGCCAAAGTGACGGATTTGCTCCCCACGAAGCGGACGCTTGGGCTTCTCGGGCGTCACGAAGTCATCAAAGTCCCAGTGAGGTGCCTGGCGCGACACAGGACGGCTGGGCTTTTCCTTGATCTCCCGCTCACTGTTGTCCCCACCGAGCTCGAAGTGTTCGAGGCGCTTCGGGTTAGCCCGATAGGCAATCTGCTCGTGACCACCTTCCGCAGCGACCGTCTCATCATCATCGAAGATACGCTGGCGCTGGAAGTTCTTGCTAGCACCAGCCTTGGGAGCGATCCTACTCCGAGACGGCGTGTCGGGAACATCGGCGTCTTCATGGAAGATTTCCTTGGGATCGCGGGGCGGGGGCTTTGCAGATGCAGGAGCACGAGGTGCGCGAACTGGGTCGCTTCGGTCCTTTTCAGGGGAGAGGAGCTCGAAGAGTGACTCAGCGGCGTGGGGATCTTTGATATGTCTCTTTCCGGGGGAACCCTTCTTGCTACGTTCCTCGCTGCTCTCGGTTGTTGCGGGGAATGAGGTTGCAGGTCCGTCGTCGCCTGGGTTGGAGGAAATAGCGGACTTGATCAGGCGAATCTGATCCTTGGGTTCGCGAATCGGCCAGCTGCGACTACGGGAACCGATCACTTCGACTTGTTTCAGTAGCGACGCTTGGTCCCAGTAGATTCGGACATTCTGGATCTGATTCTGCGAATTGAAGCGAACGATATGGATCTGCGCAAAGAAAGGGAAGGCAATGTTAGGAGACGGATGGAGGAAGAGTGAGGTCACAAGGCGCCCGACGTACCGTGGGGAAAGTCGCGACGTGGTCAGCCAGGAAGTTATCGTCAAGTGAGGGAAGATAGGCCCCGCCTCCAGACACGAACTCTAGGGTAGTCTCAATGTCCAAGCAGAGGGAGTTGGCGCTCTCGATCACATCCAGAACGTTTTCCGACCTGGTTTTGACGACTCTCTGCTGCTTGGTGAGATGGCTGACCACCGCGGATGCGCCATCCAGCTTGGTGGTGGTGGTGATATAGATCAAGGACGCATCGGAGGCCAGGGGCGCCGAGTTGGGGTTGGCCAAAAAGCGCTGGTACACGTCTTTCAAAGACATGGTGGATTTGGGTGGATTAATATGTCAGAAACGAATGTGAGGGGGGTTTGGGTTGGGGCAAAGGAGGGACAAAACACGGGCAATGGTTTAGCAGTAGGGATGTGGATGTTTGATGACAGGCCGAGGGAAAGTGAGAGAAAGATGCGAGTAGAAGGGGAAACCGCCCGTCGCAGATTGGCGCGAACCACGGTTTGGGGGGAGTTTCAGAGCTCGATTAACTTTCGAGCACAGAGTAAACCTGGACTAGACTAGACCAAATACAATGAATGAATGATAAAATGATAAAATGAAGGGCTGAGGATGTGACTCTTGAGAGAAGAGGAATGCAGGCAGAAATCAAATCCAAACAGAGGGAGAAAATCAATCACCACAGGGGGGGTTGTTGGCTGAAGTTGTTATTATTGTTATTATTATAAGGGCCAGATTCACAGCGACCAAATTGACTTCTCCAAGGGGTCTGGCGGATTCACCGTGAGCTATTCTTATACCTACAAACTGCACCACCGAATGATTGATTAAGAGCTATTCTTCCAATGAGAAAGAGTGTGCCAATCCAACTACGGGGTCCGATTTGCCTGCCGACACAGTAGACTACTGTTACTAGTGAGGATGATAACACAAACATACGTCTTCACATTGCAAAGCCCCAGTTGGGGGCATTGCAGTCAATGGCTTGCTTGAGTCTATTCGGGTCCATCACAATCTCGCGAGAAATCTCCCACGACGCTAAGGACTGGGGAAAGCCACGCGCACGGCTCCGACGATGGACACACCAGCGTTTCACGATGGGCCACCACTACCCGCGTCTCTCCGGCAACTGCGCTTGGGCTCGGGTTTGGTCTTTATTCGTGCTGCCTGCCTGCATGCATAATTCGGCTCACTGCACTGCACTACGTAAGTGTATACTTGGCTAAGTAGGGAGTAGTAGAGCCCTAGATATACTACTAGACTCAAGTCCAGAACTCGTCGTCTTTCATCTAGTAATTTGTTCTTTCTTTCTTTATTTTATTTTAGACCCTCAGTCCGGCAAGCCAAATTCGGAATTTTCCGCCTTAGATATACAGACATATAGCTATCCTCCTAACTGGCATGGGGGAACCTATGCCTTTCGCTGTCCTGGGTTTTCTCTCAGGTGCAGTTAGTGCCTGGTTTCGCAGCAATCAGTCAGCCCCGTTCGCCTGCGCGGGTTTCTGCAAAGTAAAAGCCACGATATCATGCCGGTGGATGATATCCAAGCCCAAGACTCTGCCTTGGGCGCGCTCTCATCATTCTACCCATGGGCGCACCTCCTTGCAAGGCAGATTTCTCTCAACATGGTTGTTCTTGTGTTAGAAATTGTATAGTTAGGCAGGGTATCAACGATCCTCTCAGTCACGCGATATCAATCATTAGTATAAATGGGGGAGGTAAACGGCACATCACAAAAGGCATTACAATGGTCTGGAAAGGAAAGAAAAATAGAATGTCAGTAGATCTGTCTTGGACACCAATTCCCAGAGAGGTTTGGGAGACTCACCCGAGATAATCTTCCTTGATCGTTCCAATGGCATTGATCGCCGCAACGTCGGGCTTCACACCAAGAATCTTAAGCCGTAAACTGGTTCCCTTCTCGATGACTTGGTCCGCATGGTCCGTGTATTGTGGCGGTACTGTGTTCGGTTCCCACTTGATGTCGGAAGGAATGTTCTTGCCAACTCGTTAGCAACCGATAAGGCTAAGTGATCCAACTCAAACTCGGTCGTCGACATACTTTCCGTGCAATAAAAACAGACAATGGACCGGCCAAAGTAAATATACCGGTGGGCTTGACAGACGTAACAATCGCATCGACCTACAAGGCTATGGTCAGAATCAAATGCAGCCCTGTTCAATGCAACTCCAAGACGTACGGTCTCTCCGCGGAAGGGCTTCCAGATAATTGCCCGATACTTGATAGTATATTCTGCCTGTCCGCTGCCTGGGAGCACCCGTCCTTCGCCAATATCAACCATGTCCATCACACAGATCACGAAGTGGTCGCCCGTGCAACGTCCTTCTTCCTCCTCGTTTAATCGGTTGATGAGATACTCGCGCATGTTGGGCCCGAAGTAGGACGGGTGCAAGGTGATGACCTTGACCTCTTCTTTAAGGAAAAACATGTCGTACACTTGCGATCGTCGAGAGTATGATACAAAATTTCGTTTCAACAGCCGGTGCGCGGGGGGTGTGCGATTCACGCGATTGATCAAGCTTCAGCCAGTATCTTACTGTTTCCCGGAAATTGGATGCGTGCGGTTCGAATATTTCGAGTGGCCCGTGTCGTTAGTCCAGAGTAAGTCGAATCGCTATGAATGAGTGAAGCGATGAACTAGATTTGCGACAAATGGACGAGCACTTGCCGCCAACACTTGATGACAAGATATCAACGACTGGGAAAGACCAGAAAACTGATTCAGCGAGTCAACAGAAGCAGGGAGCGCACGTTCAGAATAAAGAGCGCAGAACAGAACAATTGCAGCAGATGAACCCTGCCTTCAAACAAGATCGGACAGAAGAAGGGGCAGTCACCCGTTAATTCGACACCAAAGTCATAGCGGTCACGGATTTCCGTCTGATCAGCTCGAGCTGGATGCTCTCACGTGACCATCTGGAGCACCCCACGACGGTTATTAATTACACCGTGATACACAGTTACAAGACTCATATAGTGTAGCTCCGCGCACTGCCGGTCACGACGAGACACCGCGTGTAATTAATCACGATATCCTCGGCCCTGCCTTTGGGTGCAACGAGTTTACCTAGGCCGGGATGACGTCTGCACAAGCATAAAGCCAGGAACAAATCATAGAATGTCCTATCTCCCCACCTGCTGATCGGGTCAGATCAGGCAATATCCCCAGACAGAAAAAAACATAGGAGCTGGTCTCACGTTCGCCAGTATTCTTTTGTTGCGCCCATCTACAGCGGACTTTCGAGCCATACCAATAATAGCATTTCAAGATGGCCCTGAATCTCGAAAAGCAGCTTCTGTTTGTAAGCCTCTGCCGTATCACCTATTACAGTGTTTGGTGCAAGATGTCCATGCTAACGAGCCTCGCAGTATGGAGCTTATCACAATAACCCAGTATGTTATGCTCTTTGCCCCGTTTGTGGCTTGCTCTAATGGTGTCGTCCAGGTCAATGTTGCGATACACATCACATGCGTGCCGATACTCCTGTTCACGGGAATCGCTCTGGTACGAAATGCTATTCCCTCGACCCTTCATAGTGATGGACTACTAACGAGTTATGAATCAACTAGGCGTCGAATACACCGGCCTTCGTGAACCTGCCCAATGCGCTCCAGATCGAAAACCTTCCTCCTAATCTCGGAACGATCGCAGCCGTCGTATACTCCACGTTCTACATCCTCCTCGAACCTGTTGCTGGGGCACTGATCGCTCCCCTTATAATTGCGGGTGCAGCCTGGGCGAACCATCTACTGGCTACATATGGCACCAGCGTCAACTATTGGTTTGCTGGGATCCATGTAGTGTCCTGGCTAGCTCAGTTTGTAGGCCATGGTGCCTTTGAGCGCAGGGCTCCGGCCTTGCTGGACAACCTGGTCCAAGCACTTCTTCTTGCACCTCTCTTCGTCTGGATGGAAGTGCTCTTCTTTTTCGGCTACCGTCCCGAACTGAAAGCCAGATACGATGAGAATGTGGAGAAGGAGATTGCCGCTTTCAAGGCGCAGAAGGGCAAGACTGCCAAATAAGTGAAGCTATATGGTAGGATGGCCCGAACTCTATTTTTACTTGGGGATTGCATGGCTAGTGGCGGTAATCTACTGCGTTTTATGCTGCCACGCCAATGGTTTGGAATGAGAGCATTGCTCTTCGTTATCATTAGTTTTTGGTAACTCGGGAGTTGAGTTTTGAGATTGATGTTTGCAGAGTTCAATGTCTGTCAGCGCTACAGTAATATCATACTACGTCGGTAATTGAGGTTAATCAATAATAAAGAGCGAAAGTTTTCAGGATGTGAGTGAATAAATCGATGTGATGCAGGCTTGACATTCATGCATCCAGAGTGGATCATGATGTAAGCCCCGGAGGTACGGAGTAGAGACCTGGGCAGTGAGGACTGTAAGGAGGAAAAATGGGGAAGGGGAAATAGGAAAAAGGTCGGGTATGTTGGTATGTGACTTATAAGAGAGGGGGGTTTGTCATGTACATAAGAAGAGAAGAACAAGAGAGACAAATTACACATAGTTAAGAGGGAAAGAAAAGATTGGGTCAACTCTTGGGACTGACGGGCAGAAGGAGGAGAAAAAGAGGAGAGGTCAGTATATGCTGGGTAGCGGTAACATACGAACGAACCACTTGCTGGCAGCCATGGGAAGGGCCCATGTCGAGCCGGTGTTTCCCACCGGGACAACCGGTCAAAGCAGTGCGGTGTCGAGCAGAACGGGGCGGGTGGTTGTTGGCAGGGCCCTGCGGGCGGTTGCTGCGACGAAAATGAACTGAGTAAGCCAGCCAACCAGCAGTATCCGCAGATCCGAGAAAAGGAACAAATGAAAAATGGGATGGCCAGGTGGCCCGGAGAAACAAGCGGTTACCGCTTTGCTCACCCCGTCACTTCTTCCAGAGCAACGTTGAATAATTCTCTACCATCATAATTTATGGAAAGGGTGTAAAGTGATTAGGAACTAATAATAATAAATTTATGGACTAAAAATTATGTAGTAGTAGATCGGTGGGAAAAAAATAGAGACCAGAAGTGATGGAATACATCACCCGGCAACGACTTTCTTTGGGGTGGAGTGGGTGTCCCGTGAGCGCACTAGGGCGGCTTCGGAGGTTGGTGAGGTCTCGGCAAACTAGGATTAGTGGCAGTCCTGAGAATCCTCCCAACCCCGACGACAAAGCTCTCCTTCCATCCATCCACAATCCTTTCTCCTCTTCCTCCCTCCCCCCAATTACATCTCTCCTTCAGAGAAACCACTCTCCCACTCCTCTGAACCCCCATCACAATGTTCAGAAACGCTTTGCGGCAGTCTAGCCGCACCGTCGCGGCTGCCTCTGCCACTGGCAGGATCGCTTCGGTGAGTCCTATCCCTGTCCAGGTCGACCATGCCTTCGCCATCTGGCCGATTCCATCCAAGAAGTCATCTCAATGATGCTTGCTATCGCCTCTCTACACATCGCAATGCTTGCTGCTTCGCTTTGACGCGTTTTGATTGCGTGGTCGTGATGTTGACAAATTTTGCGTACGACTACAGGCTCGCGCGGCTGTTCCCGGCCCCCTCTCTGGCGCCTCCAAGCAGATCCGTTCCTACGCTGCTGAGGCCAAGGCCGCTCCCACTGAGGTCTCTTCCATCCTTGAGCAGAGAATCCGTGGTGTTCAGGAGGAGGCTGGTCTTGCCGAGACTGGACGTGTCCTTTCCGTCGGGTACGTGACGAATTCTCCCTCGGTTGAAAATTTTGGCCGCCGCTTCAATTCCATCGATATCATCGAAATATTCGAAAATCCGGCCATTATTTGACGCTCTCCATCGAAATCAATTGAAACTAATATCAAAAACAGTGACGGTATCGCTCGTGTCCATGGCATGACCAACGTCCAGGCTGAGGAGCTGGTCGAGTAGGTGACCCCCGTTTTTTATATGTCTTGTTTATGTTCCAATCAATTGACAAATCATCAGGTTCGCCTCCGGCGTCAAGGGTATGTGCATGAACCTCGAAGCCGGCCAGGTCGGTGTCGTGCTTTTCGGTTCCGACCGTCTCGTCAAGGAGGGTGAGACTGTCAAGCGTACCGGAGAGATTGTATGTTTTTCTTTCACGCCCAGATATCAGCATTTTTTTCTTACAAACCCATCTAGGTCGATGTCCCCGTTGGTCCTGAGATGCTCGGCCGTGTCGTCGACGCTCTCGGTAACCCCATCGATGGCAAGGGTCCCATTCCCACCAAGGTCAAGAGCCGTGCTCAGCTCAAGGCCCCTGGTATCCTTCCCCGTCGCTCCGTCAACCAGCCCGTCCAGACTGGTCTGAAGTGTGTCGACTCCATGGTCCCCATCGGCCGTGGTCAGCGTGAGTTGATCATTGGTGACCGTCAGACCGGTAAGACCGCTGTCGCCCTTGATGCCATGCTGAACCAGAAGCGCTGGAACAACACCTCCGACGAGAGCAAGAAGCTTTACTGCATCTACGTTGCCGTCGGTCAGAAGCGTTCCACCGTCGCTCAGCTCGTCAAGACCCTCGAGGAGAACGACGCCATGAAGTACTCCATTGTCGTTGCTGCTACTGCTTCCGAGGCTGCTCCTCTGCAGTACCTTGCTCCCTTCACTGGTTGTGCCATGGGTGAGTGGTTCCGTGACAACGGCCGCCACGCCGTCATCATCTACGATGACCTTTCCAAGCAGGCCGTCGCCTACCGTCAGATGTCCCTGCTGCTCCGTCGTCCCCCTGGTCGTGAGGCCTACCCCGGTGACGTTTTCTACCTCCACTCTCGTCTCCTTGAGCGTGCCGCCAAGATGAACGAGAAGCACGGTGGTGGTTCCCTCACTGCCCTCCCCGTCATTGAGACCCAGGGTGGTGATGTCTCCGCCTACATTCCCACCAACGTCATCTCCATCACTGACGGTCAGATCTTCTTGGAGTCTGAGCTGTTCTACAAGGGTATCCGTCCCGCCATTAACGTCGGTCTGTCCGTCTCCCGTGTCGGTTCCGCTGCCCAGGTCAAGGCCATGAAGCAGGTCGCCGGTTCCCTGAAGCTGTTCTTGGCTCAGTACCGTGAGGTTGCTGCCTTCGCCCAGTTCGGTTCCGATCTCGATGCCTCCACCAAGCAGACCCTCAACCGTGGTGAGCGTCTCACCGAGCTCCTCAAGCAGAAGCAGTACTCCCCCATGGCTGTTTCCGACATGGTTCCCCTGATCTTCGCTGGTGTCAACGGTTTCCTTGACAGCATCCCCGTCGCCAAGATCCTCCAGTGGGAGTCTGACTTCCTTGCTCACCTCAAGAGCAACCACCCCGAGATCCAGGAGACCATCGAGAAGGAGGGCCAGGTCTCCAAGGAGCTCGAGGCTCAGCTCAAGGAGATCATCCCCACCTTCAACAAGTCCTTCAACGCATAGGTGAGCAACACAATGCTCTTGGGCGAGTAGCCCGCCATGTACCGATTCAATCCTGACTCTATGTGTATAGACAAGATAGCTTGTACAATTTGAACCCACTGTTTTATTTTTTTCTGTTAAACCAGAGCTTCGGGTCGGTCGAGATATTGGATGAGGTGTAGTTTGCAACTCTGCGATGATATTTTACTGCCAGATCTATGTAGCTTATGGGACGACGGAGAGCAGGGTAAAACGGTGGTGCGGAGAAAGGCAAAAAAGATACGATTAATATCCTGTACGTTTAGATCATTTCGCGCGACAAGGGAACGGAATTGGACGGATTAACTGGTTTGGCGTGTAATACCCTCCAGCTGGTCTCGACTTATGAAACCTTTGTCTACATATATGCAGCCTGAATATGATTTCCTTTGTTTGATTAACTCGGTACTCGGAATGGTGTCTATGCTGTAGAGAGTAGTAGTATTAGTAGTAACGAAGTAAAACAATCCAACACGGATCTCTGGCGGTCATAGCGGCCAGTCTGGGGTAACTCGACCCAGCATGAACCCATGGCATTAGATGAGGGTCAAGTAGGATATATATAGAAGCCATTGGGGTCCGTCTCAATGCCGCGTGGCGCCTCCTTCCCCAGTCCTAATGGTAGGAATATAACTAGCACTGATGGTACGTGCATCCGGGTTAGGAACTGCACCTACTATTCTTATACATTCGTGTGAATGTAATATAGCTACTAATCTGATGTCAGAAGCATGCTATCTGGGGACCCATGGGACAATCGCAGCGAATTTGCGGGGAATAGACAGGATGAAGCTGTGCTGCTCGCCATCTGGAGCCGATGGGATGGGCCGAATGCGGGCATGCGTTTATCGATAAGCGAGCAGCCTTTTCCGTCCCAAAATTTCTTTTAATGCCCCTCCGCCGTAGCCCACCTTGAAGTAGAGAGAGTATTCCCCGTATTCCCTCCCACTCCAATTGCTTCGATATATTCTTCCCTCCCATTCGCAAAGATGGCTACCACTTCTGACTCGGTTCCGGCCTCTTGCAAGGTCATGCTCTCCAAGCATGTCGCCAACGGCTTGCTTGCGGAGGTCCAGCAGGGCGTCCATACCCTGGAGAAACCACCCCATCTGGTGGGATTCCTCGCCAACAACGACCCTGCGGCGTTGATGTATGCCCAGATGACGGAGAAGACGTGTCAGGAAAAGTGAGCATTCTCCCAATCTTCACTCCCAGTTGCGTCCATCGTGCCCCTGTGGTTACTGTGTCTGGGAACCCCTCGGTGCATATGACTCAACCCTGCGATGTCGGAGCTTTCCTGGCACACAGGCAGTATTGTGGGATTTCACTTCGTAGCTAACGTAGTCTTTTTATCCATTGCACAGTGGCTTCCGCTACTCCCTCCGTGAAGTTGCCCGCGATGATCTCGAGCAGGCTATCCTCGCTGCCAATGCCGATTCCGATGTTAACGGCATCATCGTATACTACCCCATTTTCAACAACCGCCAGGACCAGTACCTGCAGCAGATCGTCGACATAAATAAGGATGTAGAGGGTCTGAGCCACCGTTACATTTTCAACATGTACCAGAACATTCGTTTCCTTGACCCCGAGACCAAGAGACAGAAGTGCATCCTCCCCTGCACCCCGCTCGCTGTCATTAAGATCCTCGAATACCTCAACATCTACAACACGATATTGCCGTACGGTAACCGCCTCTTTGGACACACTATCTGTGTTGTGAACCGCTCCGAGGTGGTTGGTCGCCCTCTCGCTGCTCTGCTGGCCAACGACGGTGCCTGCGTCTACAGTGTCGATATCACCGGTGTTCAGAAGTTCACTCGTGGTGAGGGTCTGAAGAAGGGCAGACACGAGGTCGTCGACCTCGAGGGTAAGACCTTGAAGGATGTGGCACCTCTGTGTGATGTTGTCATCTCCGGTGTTCCCGGAGAGAAGTACAAGTTCGATACCAGCCTCCTCAGAGAGGGTGCTGTGTGTGTCAACTTCTCCAGCGAGAAGGTACGTTTCTTAGCAATTTACCATTGTACCTTATTTCAAGGGCTAATACAAAGTGTGAACAGAACTTCGGACCCGAGGTGAAGGAGAAGGCCTCCATTTTCGTGCCTTCCATAGGAAAGGTGACCATTGTTGTCCTGCTCCGCAACTTGCTGGTAAGTGATCCTTTATATCTTCGCCGAAGGGACTTCAGTTACTAATTATTTTCTGCAGAGACTCATCCAGAACAGCCGTGTGGATGACGTGAAGCCCGCTGAAGCCACCGAGCGCCCGGGAACCCTGGAAGCCGCTAACTAACCTACTACACTACGACCATTATTCTCTAAAACGTGCCACGGGAGACGAATTAAGAAGAGCCAGTCATAGATTCCGTTTTACTTCCACTTCTTCTGTTGTATCTTTTCCACTGAAGCCATATATCATGCGACTCAATCATTCTTGTATAAAAAAAAGACAAAAAGCTATGCCCCATTTTGGTCAAAATTCGCCGTATTTGTCTCGTTTCTTGAGCCTTTCCAAGCATGAGAAACGAAAAGAATATACATACATGTATTATGCCGAATATATTGCTCCTACGTTCAAACCACTACTGAATCCTCTGAACAACAAGACACTTTCATATCTGGAAAGAAAAGACTAATGCAACCAAGGACAAGAAACTCCTATTTCCTTTCCAACTCTCTAAATTACCCGCAACCAACACCCCATGTACACTTCACTTCCTCCTCTTGACATCCTTGCTTTCCTCCTCAACACCCACTAAACTGGCAACACCGCCGGTCTTCTTCTGCGTTTCCTTGGCTGCCAACCCCAGAACCTCGATCTCACCAGCCAGCCAGGCCCTCAACGGCTCGGGATGAAATGTCCCATCTGCAGCAAACCACTTAGTGAACGAGGTCTCGATCTCCTTCTCCTGCAGCATCTTGCCCTGCGCCGACTTATACTGGACCTGCAGCTTGTACAACGGGGAGTGCTTCTGCACGGACGACCGAATGATAATCTAGCATATCATATTAGCACGCAACCAAATTAACCCGCCTTTCGGCGATAGAAAAAGCGTACCGTTTCACCCGACTTCCGCTTCCCATGGAATACCTCACCCGCCTCGACAGCCCAAACCCAGTACGTGAGGAGTGAGTTCAAGGTAAAGTACGACAAAACCGCTGCGATGATCCATGGCGAATGTGTCGCCTCCCAGTTGAGTTTGCGTTCAGCATAGAAGCTGAACCCGGCAATCGCGACGGCAGCATAGCCCAAGAACAGGTGGACATTGGTCTTGGTGTGGTCTTGGGCGAATGTGTAGGGTTGGGGGAGAGAGCCAAGGTAGGGAGCTAGGGCGTCATCGGTTGTTGATTTTATGTCTGTTCAATGAAGTAGTTAGTGATTTTTGTTGACCAATACATAGATCTATGAGTGTAGCAAGTATTGCGTCGCAGTAATATCTTGGATGTATGTAGTAATAGTGATGTTTATCGCGCGAACTAACCATTGACCGAGTAAACGGGCACTTTCTGGACTTCTGCGGACGCCATCTGGATTTTTTGTTTAAGGTCCGAATAAGACAAAATAGGTTAATAGTCTCCCCAGCTTCCTAATGTAAAGTTATTCAGTAAAAGGTGGAAGAATACTTCGTGGAGCTTCGATCTAAGCCGGGGAAGAGTTGCGGCGAGCTGTCCCTTTCGCAAGCTAAAGCGGCGGCAATGGCATGCGCCAAGGCAAGTCAATCAAGTCAGTCAGCCCGCCGCGCCCCATCCAACTTCCGTGGGGAGCTCCGTGTGTCTTTCTCTGCCTCCGAACCACAACTCGAGGGATTAGACCACATTTACTCTTGTTCAATTCTGCTCACAATGGCTCTGCAAGGCGTTGAGCAGACGATCCTTCGGGATCCGGCTCTATTGTGAGTTTATTGCTCCAGACTGGGCGTGATTTGATGTGAAATGCTGATGTGATCGACTCGCACCTCTAGCTACTGGATTGTGTTCCCTATCACTGTTGTTATGGTATGCGAGCTCTCCTCTACTCTACAAGAGACAGGGATATATGCTAATCGTATATTCCACAGATTCTGACAGGTATCCTCCGTCACTATGCCACCGTCCTGATGAACAACCCCCCGAAGCCGGCTTCGACGCTGGCCGAATCCCGCGAACGTCTCGGACTCATTCGCGGCGTCAACCTCCGGAACAATGCCTCCGTGCTCTCCAAGGAGTCCTTCGAGATGCGGAAGAACTACCTCGTTTCTGCCTACCAGAGCGGCGCTTTCCTCAAGGACCCTGCTAGTCGCGGCCAGCCGCCTGCAAACCCAATGACCGATCCTGCTGGCATGGAGGCCATGATGGGCATGATGAAGGGGAATATGATGATGATGATCCCACAGACGCTGATTATGAGCTGGATTAATGCGTTCTTTTCGGGATTCGTGATTTGTAGGTCTAATCTGAATTGTTTTTGGAAAGGGAGTGAGCTGACAAGAGTGCTAGTGAAATTGCCCTTCCCGCTTACCATTCGGTTCAAGTCAATGCTGCAGTCTGGTGTTATGACCCGGGATTTGGATGTTAGATGGGTGTCCAGTCTTTCGTGGTATTTCTTGAACTTGTTTGGACTGCAGTCGGTCTTTGGGTTTATCTTGGGCAGTGATAATGGTTAGTTCGCTGTGTTTGCCTCATTATCGTTTCTATTATCTTTGTTTGAGTGTGCTGACAGTTTGCTTTAGCGGCCAACCACATGGCTTCGCAGATGGCGTCGATGAACCCTGCCGCTGGTATTAACCCGTTCCAGCCGGGCCAGGATCCCGATAAGTTGTACCAGAGCGAGGCTGAGAACCTGGAGGTCATTGAGCACTTTTGCATTCTGGACGGCGTTGAGGAGAGAGTGCTGGCTCATTACGCGGGTAGGAAAAGCTATTAGGCTACGATGGTCTGGCTTCTGGGTGCGTTTGGACTCTACTTGCTGAATATATTAGATGAAGTGCAGATGTATCAATATGACATACTAGTAATATAAGTGCAGACCGTGAGTACTAAGACGGGTGTGTCCTCATTAGAGCCTCTGCCAAGAGACCTTATCCAGCAGCCATCAATCATAATAGAATCGTCATCAGCATGAAGAACATCATAATGAAATATATAACCATCGCAGCCCAATGGAACCCAATGAACCTAGGTATAATTAACCACCCCATTCAGAATCCACAATTCCCCATTCGAAACCTTCTCAGCAATACTATCCACCTCCACATTCCCTGGTTGAATCTACCACAAACAGTCAGTCAGCGTATCCCTAAATCACCCACCACCCGAAAAGGACCCAGAAGAACATACATAAATCTTGCCCCCCTCCCCCCTATTCCACCTCACCTTCTCCCCAGCAAGGGTAACCCCCTCATCGCCCTCCCCCCAAGGACTCCCGACAACAACATGCGCCTTGACAAACCTCTCCAGATTCTTCGTTGCCCGATCCTGCCCCTCATCGCCCTCATACGCCCCGGCCTGCCCAAACCGCTCATAGTCCTCGGGATTCTCCCACGGCTTGCGCGGCAGGTTCTGGATCGCGCTGTTCCGCGGCGCCAGGACTGTTACGTTGCTTGAGGGATCATTGAAGCGGGACTCCACCGAGTCGAATTGCCGGGTTAGGGAGGCGTAGATGTTAATGAGGCGGTTCTTGGGCAGGACGTCGGAGATTATGGGATTCTCGTGGGAGGAGGATTGGCTGCCCATTTTGTTGGTGGAGGGTTGCTGGGATAGCCACTCTTTTAGGTCGGCGAGGTAATTGTTGGTGGCGTCTTGGAGGTGGAGGTCGTGACGGAGGTGTGGTGCGGAGACGAAGGGACGGGGAAGACGCTTTCGGAGAGGGAAGCTGTTGGCTGTGGTTAAGGTGGTGAGGATGATTATGATTAAGATGAGAGAGGATGCTATGAGGAAGAAGGGTTTCTTGGTCATTTTGATATTGGGGGTTTTATATAGATTAGGTTAGTAGATAGAGGATATGGTATTGTGGTGGAGGTGATCGGCCTGTCAGCCGGACTGGGGGATGACGCAACGCCAACTGCCAGTAAGTTAACTACTTTGTAATAACTGGAGAGTAACATGGTCAATGTAGCAGCACGTGACCCATATCGATAAGGGCAATCAATGGGCGGGCCACAAACGGCGTCATGTTCCGGTCGCGGAGAAGATAGAGAGAGGCACTTGACTAGTTGCTTTCCCCCCCACCATTTGCCCCTCATCTGCGATTTCCGACGTCTCACTTGTCACAAGATGTCGGCGCTGCAGACATTCCTGCTGGTCGTGGACCATGATAAGCAGGAGGCCAAGCAGATCGCGGAACGAATTGCTCAAGGTACGTTATGTGATGTTCCCATGCACCCCCGCCGCTGCCGCAGCAGATTGTTTGATGATGGACTGGGACTAACTACTATTGCTGGAACAAAAAAGATGTGGAGACCAAGAAGACCACGCTCATTGAAGTCGTGCAGTCGCTAGGAGAGTACATCAATGACGAGGACTCGATTCTGCGCGGCAAGGCCGTTTCCTATCTCACGGCTGTGATCCGGGCGCTCCCTCCGAAGTTCCTGTCGAGACAACAGATCCAGGTCCTGACGACTTTCTTCTGTGAACGGATTGAGGATGGAGGGGCTGTCCCCGGGTTGGAGACTTTGCAGAAGCTGGATCGGTTCAATAAGGCGTTGGCTGAAGAGGTTGCGCAGGCGTGAGTGCATCTGATATTGATAAGGTCATGCATCGATCTCGGACGGGATTTAGCTGACTTGTGCAGGATCTTCGAGCGCTTCGAGGAACTACAGTCTCGCTCGCAGTCTCAGAGGTTCCAGGTTTACCAATTGCTGAACGAATTGATGATTAATCATCGTGCCGGTGCGTTTCCATCCATACTTCCTTCGACGTGGTTTTGCGGGAATTGACTAGTGCAGCCCTCCATGATATGGGTGACGAGTCCCTGGTTGGCATAGTGAACCTGATGACGGGTGAGAAGGACCCGCGCAACCTGATGCTGGTCTTCTCGATCCTCAAGGTGGTGATGGTGGAGTGGGATGTGTCCAACCATGCTGAAGTATGTATTACATGTGGTCTGGATATGGTCTTCTGATAACTGACATGTGAAGGCTCTGTTCGACTCTGTCTACAACTACTTCCCCATCACCTTCAGGCCCCCGCCGAATGATCCATACGGTATTACTGCTCAGGATCTGAAAGACCGCTTGCAAGACTGTATCTCGGCGAACAGCCTGTTTGCTCCGCATGCTGTTCCTTCTCTGTTGGATAAGCTTGACTCGACGTCGCCCAATGTCAAGGTACGTGTTGACAAGACCACAACCCTTATACATTCTAACGATCCTCCAGAAAGATGCGCTCAATGCCCTTATTGCTTGCGTCAGGCTGTACGATCCAAACACGGTGTCCAAGTATTCGATCACCATATGGGAAACTCTGAAATTCGAGATCCTCAACGCCCAGGAGGAATTCCTTTCTGAGCTTTCTCTTCAGGTCTTGAGCAGTATTGCGCAGCGGTTGTCGGAGGGCGTCACGCAGATCTCCGACCAGCTGCCTCTTGCACAGTTCTTGCGCCCGATTACCAAGGAGTGCAGCGAGCAATTGCAGGAGCCTCAGCAAAAACAAGCGAAGCCTGCTCAGCAAATCCTCAGCTCTACTTCCGCAGCATCTGCAGCGTCGTTCACGCTCATCGTGCAAACTGTCGTCGCACCACTCTTGACGATCTACCAAGAAGCCGATGGAATCGCCAAGCAGAGAGCTCTGCTGGATACGTTGACCGTCCTCTTCGATTCTGCTATCCAGGTATTCGGCGCATGGACATCGCGGGACTCGGAGCCTAGCCTCAGCAACCCCTTGCTCGAGTTCAAGGATCAGTTCTCGGACATCTTCGGCCAGGCGCTCATGGGCGTTATCAAGGAGGAAGTCTCGTTCCGCATCTCCGCCCTGAAGGGATTTCTGCGCTTGTCCACCCTGCGCAACTACTTCCAAGATAACGAAGTTGGACTCTTCGTCCAGTACCTTGACGAAATCCTCCTAAAGGAGGAATCAGTCGGCCGTGACGACCTGAAGAAGGAAGCAATTGCTGCCCTGACAGAAATTTCGAAGTACAAGCCGCGTCTGATCTTGGACATTACTTTCCCTGCTTTTGTGGCCACACTTCCTGACTCCGATGATGGGTCGAATCCCGAGTATATCACCACCCTCGAGACTCTCGCACAGATCAGTGTTGAGAGAGACATCTTCGACACCCTGGTCCGGCGCCTGCTCAGCAAGCTGAGCATACTTTTGCAGAAGGAAGATCCCGGATCTGTGGACTACCCCAGGGCCATCCTCTTGACTATCCTTTATGTCATGAACCAAAGGAAACTCGACGAAACCCCTAACCTGGACCTCTACTACGACAAAATCGTCGTGAGCCTGTGCCGTAGCGCAGCAACAGCAGCTCTAGGCAAAGCCCCGAACAACATCCTAACCGACGCCACAGTCCTTGATGTCCTCGGAAGACTATGCAATGTCATCATTAGGTCCCTCCCACAAAGCAAGCACGACGAAGTCGTGTCTAATATCTACACCCTCTTCGCCTCAGCGGACGGCTTCCAACAGGTGCCCTTCACTCCCTCGCCAACTGACAGCCATCGCCGCACCATGATCCTCTCGACCTACCTCCTCGCCAGTCTCCCCCGAGACACGAAGAACCTACCCCCCTGCACACCCCCCGTGATGTCCGATCTCCTCACAGACATCGCAACCCGCTGCACGACCGAGACCGAGACCGCCACCCAACTGGCCTTCCTCCGCCATCTGGCCCTCTACATCAACAAGCACCTCAACAAGGAAGACCTCGATCTCGCAACAACCCTCTTCGACTCCCTCCTCCCACAAACCACCCAAGAACCCCACCTCACCACATCCACCATCAAAACCCTCTTCTGGATCTCCAAAGCCCTCATCCTGCGCCTCTCCCCCAAGACGACCCAAATCCTCACCACCCTCCTCAACCTCCTCTCCTCCTCCTCCGAAGCCACCAGCACAACCGCAGCCCGCGGCTTCGCCATCCTCCTCAAAGACGACGAAGTCCTCTCCCCAACCAACCACGCCAACATCCGCCTCCTCTCCAAACAACGCGTCTTCACCACTTTAACCCCTCTCATCTCCGCCCGCATCCGCGAAGTCAATGTCGCCGGAACCGCATCCACCACACACATCAAACCCGCCCACCTAACCGCCCTCTCCGGCATTCTCTCCACCATTCCCCCCACCCTCGTCATGCCCGAACTCCCCACCCTCCTCCCTCTCCTCCTTCAAAGTCTGGACCTCCAATCCGCCGACTCCCAGCCCGTCCGCGCCGCCACCCTCGAAACCCTCGCAGTGATCATCCGCGACAACGGCGTCAGTGTGATCGAAGAGTGCGGGCACGTGCAGAGCCTCGTCACTCGACTCCTGAAGACGGCCGAGCACGCGCCGACTACTGGAGCTGTTAACGGGCCCAGACTGCGCGTCGACGCCCTCAAGTGTCTGTTCTTGCTTGCACAGACGCCGGATTCGGGTGCTGCGGATGCTCCGAAGGTAGCTAAGGCGGGCAAGCTGTCGCCGCTTTTGCCGGTGAAGAACCAGGTGTTGAGGGCGTTGAGAATGGTGCTGGATGATCCCAAACGGGATGTTAGGAAGGCCGCGGTTGATGCTAGGGGGGCTTGGCTTAGGGGCGTGGATGATGCCGCGGAGGATGATTGATTTGTTTCTTTCTTGTCTCTTCTATTTATTTCTGTATCTTTTTTGTTAGATGGAGGGGGGTATATCTTGTTCGCTGGTTTTTGTTGCCCTTTTTGGTTGCAATCTTGCTACGTGCTGCATGCTGCATGCTACATGCTACAGGCTGCTTCTGCTACTCAGCATAACATGTCTCAGGGTTTGGTGGTGGCATTAAAGGCAGAGTATTAGATGATGATGCTTTGGGAATGTATAGATGATTGGATACAGTGCGTACCACTCACGTCGAATTGACATTCTTGAAGATAATTGCATGTCTAGATCCTAGCAAGCGGGTGGGTCTCTTGACCTACGCAGGCTTTTCGTATCTAAAAGTAGAAGTGTTGTAACTACAGTTAGAGAGAAGGGAATTTGACGGTAGCACAGAAAACCCGGTCACATCAACTAGATTTCACCTGCAATTTGAATCCTTCGACACCTTTGACACTTCCTCCGCACTGCACCCCAACTTCACCAAAATTCTCGCTCCAGCCCTTGGAGAGTATCTTTCGGTGGGCAGGCGCTACCCAGGTCTTTGACGCTCTCTATGTCATCGAATTCGAGGCCCTTTGGAGCGGGTACAATCTGCAGTGCCCCGGAGTGGACTGATTCTTTGGATGAGACGCTGAACCCTTGATTAAAGTAGCCAACACCATCTGCCTTCTCAACCACCATGATAGTGAGACGGAGGAGATCCCCAAGCCCCCCGGTCCCAATGGCCATGGCGACTGGACTTAGTGGCGCATCTGGGGTTATAAGATGTGCATCTCTCCCGAGTAAGTCGACGCTACTCCAGTCTTCTGCACGCTCACCAACCTCCAGGTCGACATTGCTTTTCAATAGAGATTCAATAGCTGGACTCACGAGCGAAGCTTCATACCAGAGCCTCCCCCGTCTGATCATCTCTTGGGGTTGCACCGCACGGGCTCGCACGGCTGTTCCTTCAGCGGCGCTGGTCCCGACAATCAGATCCTGAGTCTCTAGTACCTGCAGATATAGATCTCCGTTGGTCTCACTCTCACCGTTTGGCTCCTTTCCGGTGATGTCACTTGAGGGGACCACATCTGAGCAAATGAACTTATGCCGAGTCCAACGCTTCATGTATACCTTCTCAATCGAGATTGTGTGCCCGGCTGGGAGGCGGGTGAAGATTCGCAGGAGTGGTTTGTCCGCGGGAATCCAGAGATGGTCAACCATATATTGAGCTGCTGATGCAAGTTCCGGTCCATGATGGGTGACACAGTTGACACTGATATTTGCATCCCAGATTTGCAGTGGGATATGCAAGTTAACGCCCCCAAGCGATAAGGGCGGCTTCCTCAAACAATGACCACCCTGTTCGTCAATGACAAGAACAAGCGATTGACCAGCTTTCGTTCGGCAATGAAACTCATAGGATACATTGTATTCGTCGTACTCTTGTTCGAACAGGCGGCGTTTTCCTTGCGCCTTGGACGTCCTCAGGTCAACAAGATGATCGATGTCCGCACCAGAGGTCGTCAATCTATTCATGAACTTCGTAGTCGGTGCGGCCAAGCCCGTCCGTGGCTTGAAAATCTTCTCCCAATCGCTAAAGGTTATTACTTGCTCGCAGCATGACTTTGGAAGGAGTGGTATCAAGAGTAGTCCGATCTGCACCTCCAAAGTGATTGCTCCTGGGAATGTTTCAGCGGCCTCTAGAGTGGGCTTCAAGGCCTCATAAAGCCTTTTTATATCTTCGTCCAGGTTCCTGTCCACCTCGATTTGTTGTTCTTCTTGTTCCTGGCTCACCAGTGTTGCTATTCTCTCCTTGATCGGTCCAGAGCCATGTTGACTCCCTGAAACATCGACTGATGGCTTCTTGGCGTGCTTGGGGAGTATTCCCCAAGCATCTTCGAGGGTTTTCTGTTTCTTAACCTTGGCCTCGGCCTTGCTGTTCACCTTGTCTTTGCTACTCGGATTAGGTGCCTTCTGAGTCATAGTACGGCGGAAGGCTCTCGTCACGACTTCACCATCGAGGTGTTTTGCTGCCCCGTGGGATCTCTCAATTTCTGTAACTTTGTCATGAGCCAGGTTCCCCTGTGCCTGGCGCAGAGTTGATGCATTCTTGTAAGCCTCTTTAACGATCAGTGATTCGCCTTCGTTGCTTTCATTATAGACCATGGTCAAAGAAGCCAGTCGATTTGTCTGCTCAAACACCTTCTCGCTGCTGTCTGCAGTAGCTCTTGCGTTGCTGAAAGGTGCCACCCTGTCACCGCTGAGTGAAGCGTCTCTGGTTTTGCCGGAGGAAGTGGCCGTTTCATTGCTATGAAGAGGGTTTCTGTCATGGCCTGGTGAAGTATGTCTGACATTGCATGAAGAAGTCGCTTCTTGCATGGATTCCGTGCTGCTAAGCTCTAAGGGGGCCCCAGATGCCTCGAAAACTAAACCGGCAAGATCAAGGCTATTGCCTCTGCTGTGTCCGACTACTTCTTCGGAGGCCAGGGTTGGGGAGACCGCGCTTTGACTACAAGACAGACTCGATGGCACTAAGGCCGGCTGATAGAAGGAAATCGTAGGTTGGATACTGGTACCTCCGGTTGTTACCGGCCCAAGAATATCAACAAGCTCCTTCCGTTTGTTAATCTTCTTCTCCAGCCCTGATCGGGTGTGTGGGTAGGTGCGGTGGTCGCTTTTCGTAGCCTGGGGGGTGCTTTTGTTGAGACCATACTTTGTAGTGTCAAATCCCTGGGGAAGATGCGGCTTGTCCTCTGGTACTTTTTGGAGGGTTGTTGAGGCTATATGAGCTTGTGGCGCCTGAGCCTCAGCCACCGGGTCTGCTGTAACATGCTGGCCTTCAGTGCCACTTCCAGTATTATAGATCATTTTCCACTTTTTACGAGGTTTAGAGACACAAGCTTCAGCCTCCGTTGTTTGAACCGCAGTATCCTTGGGCTTTGGCTCTGCACACTCCCGGGCTGACGATGGCTGTACCTCGTCGGTGATAAGTCTGCGCTGTTTGATACCAGGTGGCCTCTTGGTTGTTGGGGCACAAGGTTTAATAGCTGACTGCCCGGAATGAGGCATAATTCTCATGTCCGCGTCGGATACAGGAGTAGGTCTTTCAGCGCCAGTTCCCTCAACAACCCACCGATTCCATTGGTCCACTTGTTTTGCCTTCTCGGGAGTCAAATAAGGATGTGTAGCAGGGTCGCTGGAAGCTGTTGCCGTAGCTCTGGTTCTAGCAAGTTCATCAACTGTGCTCAAGGCAAGATATTCATCGCCTTTTCCAATCCCCTGGAAGGTGAAGTCATTCCAGAGACGGGATCTTTCGGGCTCCTCGGTTATATGAGGCGGATTAGTGATATTTCTGGGCTCTCTGAATGCATGGGTCTCCTCGTCGTAGGGAAGTGGCACAGTGACGAACATCTGACCGAGTTCCCAGCTGAGATTCATGTCTGGGTCGGTCAAAAGGCGTTGAGGAGCAGTACTGTTCAGACTGCCGTATCTCTGCATACGAAAACGTATGCGACCGTTATCTGGAGTAGCGTTCAGATTTGCCACTCCCGCATTCGTAATAAAGCTCTGTTTCATAAGTAAGATAATGGCTGCTACTCTAGTGAGGCGGACACTTACCAGGGTCTTCTCAATCCGAGTGAGCTTCGCCAAAGCATCTTGTACATCTTCGACGGACTTCCCGATCACTTGGACGCCACGGCCTTCGACGACACAAGCCTCAGTCCCAGTCAAAGCCGCTATCTGCGAGAGAAAGTCACGGAACCTGTTGTCTGAAAAGCAGCCCACTCCCCCATTGGATGATAGCCAGAACCTAGTGACAAGAGCAGCGGGATTAGGTATCAACTCCTGGTCAGAGCTGTCTGACAGGGCTAGAAGTCCACCTTCCTCGTCCTTGTCTGTATCAGAAACCACCGGGTCTTCATCGACAGGCATAATGGCAGACACATCCAGCTGATTGATCCGAGGCATCTAATGTTTTTGCCTGTCAGCGAGATTTTTGTTGGGATTGCGGGAACAAGAAATCCCCAAGACATACATCTAGCAAATCCTTATTTTCCTGACCATCGATGAAGCTTGATACAACCTTCGCAATCTGAGACGCGCCGCCCTCCAGATTACCCTTGAACTCGAGAACCTAGACAAGCGGATTTTGTTTAGCATGATGAAACAAGCTCTACCAGGTAGGCTATTTACACACATTATCATGTTTGTGGTAATGGCATTCACTGTCACCATGATTTTTCAGTTTCCTACAGCTGTCAGTTTCAATCGCAGACGAAGTGTGCGTTGGCTAGGGTCTTTACTTGATCTGATCTGTGACTTCCTCCACCTGTTATGTTGTGTTAATGCGGAGCACGAACTAATAACACAGGGTTTTGCTTACCCCGATGTCTTCAAACGCCCACATAGACGCCAGCGTGACCCGCTGCCTTGCAGACATTCTGTGGATCGAAGCTGTGAAAGATAGTGTGGATGGACTCTAAGTTGGGTCTTGTCAAGAGAACAGAACGAGACTGATGGAGATAAACGATGAACTGTGAACCAGTCAAGGGACGAACCAAGATGGAAAGAAGAAGGGGGAGGAAAGAAGAAAGTGGGAAAGAGAACAAGAGGGAGGTAGTGCCTAGGGGGAAGATGGCGGGGCAAAGGGTGGTCAGTAAATTCCCATGGCAATGAAACCCCGGGGAAAGAGCCAAAGTGAATGGCCGGTGGTTAGCAATAACACTGGGCGAACTCTAAGGGAATCAACACAGAGAGACTCGCACAAACACAGAGCGGGTGGATGCAGCTCGAATTCCCTGCGAGTGGACGCCACTGGAACAGTCACGGTCCCATTGAAGTCAACAGAAGTACGGTCTGGACAGAAGAAGGCAAAACTTTTGGTCTGTAAACGTGGACAGAAACTGCATCAAAGACACAAAAGTGAATTCCCTGATCCAGAAGTAATATAAATACTCCTGAAAGGATGATGATGATAGGGGAGATGCCACGTTAGCAGCACAAGGTGAGACATCCAGGCTTTTCGAAGGAGAGTTCCGTCCCGTAGGAAGTTATTGCATTACTGTAAGATTGCATTGGCATGCAAAGAAGAAAAAGTATATCTACACGGATATCGCCGTTCTGGTCATCCGAACACTCTAAACACAGGGTGACACGCAAGGACATGATGGTCTATTCTTCCGGGGTATCGAGCAATCCCAAACTCCAGCTCTCATCCAGAGATACTGTGGAGTGTGAATATGAGAGGAAAAGGAAACATTGAAGGGAAAGAGAAAGGGAAGTAAAGAGAGGACAAGAGAGGTGAAGGAAAAGCAAAAGAGTGAAAAGAAAAAGAAGAAAATAAAAGAAATTACAAGAAAATTAAAAAGGGCCCACGGCCGGAAATTTCCGTCTTCGCTGACCAGGCGCAGACATGGCCAGTAACCTCCGTGCTGAAGGCAAAAGAGAGCCGATTAAAGGGAGGAAGATTGAGTCGAATATGCCAGATCAATGTACCCGCCATTGAATCGAAGCTGCGTAGGTAGCCCAAGGCGTATTCTGCCCAGCAGCAGCTTTCCCAGGTACGTTCCCTTGGATCGTTATTGACAGGGGGTTATCGTTCATTCGGCATCCTTGATTTGTTGCTTGACTTGAATGGCCCATTTCATCTGCCCCTGGGTTTCTTGCAGCGCAGCAAGAGCCGCATTGATTTTGGCCTCACCCTCACGGCCGCTTTCAATCAGTGATCTCAATTCTTCGTCCTGGGTGCGTTTGTAGGCTTCGTACTCGGCGAAGAGGGCCTCGAACTTCTGCCTGCTGCTCTCAAGCTCGCGATCCTTCTCAGCCATCAGTTCGTCCAGGCGCTCTACATGACTGTCTTTTTCGTCACTTCGTTTCTTGAGAGCGACAAAATCATCCCGGAGCACCTTGAGCTTCTTCAGATGTTCCGCTCGTTCCCGTTGCCCGGTCTTTGCCAGCACATCATACTGAGTTCGGGAATGGTGAGAAATTTCTTGGAGCTCGGCGCATTTCCGATGAAAATCGTCTCGAGCTTCATCCATCAACTGAGTTGTCTTCCGGGCCTCTCCTTCAGCCTGAGATCTCCGATCTTTCTCGCCTTGAATTTCCAACCGAAGCTCTTCAATTTTCTTGTCCTTTCGTGAAATGGAATGCAGATTGGTCTCATTCGCCTGTTCGAGGTTGCGGAGTCGTTCGGTCATATTCTGGACTTGGATCTTGAAGGCATCGTTCATTCGCTGGGTCTCCTCGGCCCTCGAGCGATAGACGCTACAGTCGCGGGTCAGGCGCGCAACTTCCTCCTGTAGATTGTGTATCACCCGCCCCGACTTTCCCGTCGCTGCGTGGCCGACAGCGGATGACCATTCGGTTGCCGGAACATCGCCAGATATGGAATTATGAATGCCGTTCGTGCCGTTTGATGAGGGGGCAACTACCGTTTCTACGCACGTGCACACAAATTAGCTGGGGTCAAGGGCATGGAAAAGGGGAGGGGGGGCGGAGAGGCTTACCTGTGGACGACTCTTCGGCTGCGGATGCCTTCTGACGCTCAGAGGTACCAATCTCAAACAGGCCATTGTACTGATGCATGTTCAATTCCGTTTCCACATGGGGTAAGCTCACACGAGGCGCTCGTTGGGGATCTGACGTAGGTAGCACAAGCATGTCCGAGTCAGCATTTTTTGTTCCTGCCTTAGGGGACTTCTTGACCCGACCGAATCGGGCCATTCCGAGCAAAGCGGATAGGGTTGGAATGTTGGCTAAAAGGCAGGATATCCGCAAAAGGCAAAGCGACAATGAAGGGAACGGAGTAGGTATCCAAGCAGCAACCTATTCCCTTGGGGGGGAAGGAAGGAAGACCACGTAGGATGCCACTCCGTAGCCGGAGTTGGGGCCGCAGCAAGGAGCAAGCAGCAACTCAAATCAACGAAACGAACACCGCCAATGACAACAACTAAATTGTACAAAAGCAAATCAAGGGCGAGGTAAGCACTACTAGCAGTAGATCTAGTAGTAAAGGCGTGCTCACAGACTTCCTGATCCCGGAATTGACAGACGAGCACGTCGCGGGGAAGATTGGGAACTTAAGTGGCAGATGATGATAGGGATGCATGGAAAGGCAGAAAGCACAAAAATGACCAGGAAGAAGGGGAAGAAAAAGCGCAGCACATACCACGAAGTGGATCAATGCTTGTTTGCAGATCTGCAGCACGAATATTATTGCGATGAAGATTAGAATGGTGCTTATTCATCGCCGAGACATCAGAAAAAAATCCGAGATTGCGGTGGAAGAAGTGAACTTGATGGATGCAGAAGAAAAGGCGGCAAGTGCTGAAACAAGTAGACAATGACAGGGTCTGGCTCACTCAACGCACCTAGTATTTTACCCGCTGATCCGCGTTGACAGCAGCACGAACCATAAACCCGCGCAACTGGGTGAATATCGCAGGGTGCACAGGGGACGAGAGGCTGAGTGATATGATATATATATATATATATAGTATCAACTAGTATGAACAGTGATAAGGGAGGGGCAGTATGGTCGGTTCAGTCGAGTACCGAGAGTTTAAAAGGAAATGACCGGTGATACTCTGCTAGTTGGTAGTAGAAATAAATAAAACCTGGGAAGACGAGAGAGATCCCCGCACTTAATAAAGATGCAGCCGGGACTGCTGGGCAGCAAAAAAAAGAAAAGAATGAACTAATAGGGATCGAGATGATGATGTGAGCTGTCTGCCTGTCACCCACACTGCCTGGCAGCAAAGAACAATACCAATAATAATACTACTAATAAATGAATCTGATGAATTAAGAATAGTAGCGCCCGACCTGGGACTGCCGCCGCTAACCACGGCCGCTAGAAGCAAAACCTGTCCTTCGGATCCAATCCCCTCTGCTCGCCTCCCCCCATCGATCATCCACATGAAACAATCTAGCCTCACTGTCAATAATATGACTAGTAGGAATAGTCCGATTGATGATGCGAGCAGTTTCGCCCAACTCCAGACTTGTAACTATACTAACGATTGGCCAGTGGACATGCTACATGACGTAATCAAATCGTTGTTTGCTACTGACTACACTAACTAGAAAAGCTGGCCGTCGAAATCCATCCCAAAGAGAAAACCCCCATCACTCGTAATATCCAAACGAACTTATTCTTCGCCTCCAAAAATCGTCTTAAGCCTGCCCATTTAAAAAGCCCATAATCATGAAACCTCATTATATACAAAGGAAAATTGACCAAAGGAGTGACTCACACCAAGGAAAAGAAAGGGTAAGGATGGGAAGGTTTCGATCTAGAATAAGAAAACACCCAATGTGAATAGAGGTTCTGTCGTCAGATGACCGATGTCAACATCACTGGCAGTTCCCTAACTTCAGAACTGAAATAGACGATTTAAATCCCAATGCTCATTCCATCTATTTTGAAGGCATCAGTCCATCCCTCATCAGATTCAGCAGACGAGATAGAAGCCCATAGCCACGATGCCAAGGACCAGATCAAGCGAGACCATCTGGAAGGGTGCGCCACCATTCTGCATTGCCGCCGCCATGGCACTCTTGCTGGAAACATTGGAGCTACTGTCGTGGTTGGCATCCAAAGTAAAATTCGTTGTCGCATTGTTGCCAGGCAGAACACTGTTCACTTCATCACGGGGAGCAGTATCGGTGGGAGTGGGAGTTGGTGTGGTTTCCGTCTGGGATGGTGTTGTCGTCTCCTGTGTGGAGGTAACTGAGCTTGCAGTTGAAGTTGTAGCGACTCTCTGCGAGTCATTGTTCAATGACACAAGCCCCGAATAATTTACCTGCCCATCCTGGTCGATCTGAAAGGCATAGTCTGAGCCTGGTGCTAGGGAGTCGTCAGGTGTCCATGTGTAAGAGCCTCCCTTTGCATCATTTGTCAAGACTTGGACAGTGTCGAGGTCCGCAGCTGCTCCTTTGCGTAGGGTGATTGTAACAGGCTAGTGTTCCATCAGCAAATTGCACCAGAAAGGCTCAAGGAATGAAGAAGGGATCGTACAGCATCAGAGTCAGTCTCCCAGTTCAAGGTTGTAGGGACGCCGGCATCCAGAGAAGACGGCCAATGCGTGAAAGCCAACGCTGCCTGAGCAATCTGGACTTGAGCCAGACATGCTGCAAAAGCAACAATTGCTTCTGTAAAGCGCATAGTTGCCGTAGTACCAACGATTGTAGATTAGGTTTCAGTGAACGCGATGCCGTGACTCTCGGAGGTAGCACTGGTTGATGCAAGCCGCTGTCGATGATGACTCCCCCGTTGGCAGTTCACTTCTTCCTGCAAAGATCTTCAAAAGATCTCAGTAAGTTGACACACCTTAGGATTCCCTAGTAAGTACCGTCACGGTATCCTATACTTACCCTTTTCTGTGTAGAGCTACCGTCCAGAACGTCCAGAATACGGTGTGGCTCGTACAGAATAGAGATCCCCAGAGGTGAGGATGGCATCAGAGCTGGACGATGGACTTTTATTTCCCTCCTTTACCCGTGCTTTGTTTACCTCCGAGTATGCTAGCATACCAGGAGAAAGGCGCGACAAAAATGCCGGCATTGAGCCCTAGCATTCCGACAATGCTACTCATGACTGGTAAAAGCTCATGTGTAGGAATGTAGCCGGAGTACCGAGTCGAGGCTCTACATTCCCTCCGCGCCTTTCACAAGGGGTGGGACTGTGACAGCCCAACGGCCTATCTAGCTGGATCTCTCCGGGCTGGCTTGACTGTGGGCGCGAGATTGAGGCAGATATCTATAAACTATGTCTGCAATACCTGCTCTCATCCACCTCAAGGGCGTCAGGAAGGTTACTTTGAGCCGTGTTGAAACTTAATAAATTGCCTCGCCACATGTTGAAGTCATCGAAACATTCAAGTATGTGTCCTTCATTCGAACGTTTCAATGACTCTAGGCGCATAATCTTAGATTCTTTTTGCTAGAGGGAAGGGCGGTTATGTCACGGCTCTACATACTTGTGTTTCCCAACCTAAGGCCATAATTCCCCAGAAAGTTGCACCATATCGAGTAATCTATCCTGCCATCCACAGGGGAGAAATTAGCTTCGCGTGGTAAGCGGACTACAAATCTGCAAGGGGCAGGGTCCCAAGGGACGCGAAAAACTGAATCGGGTATGGACTGATGGAACATCATCATATCTTCTTTAGCTTGCATTAACCGAATTACAGCATGTGCCGATTGCCCGATCGGTCTCGGTTCTGCGACTCGAAACAATCGTACAGCATCAGAGCCACTGATTCACCGAGAGCTTATCAAAACCCCCTGAAGATGCCCGATACCGTAGAAACAGGACGGAGACGATTTCCCGAAGTGAACCATGGTTTCCAGTTTCCAAAAATATCAGAGAGCGAACAATCGTCTGGTCTTCCACGAGAATCGCAACGGTGACACTCGATCCTGATTGTTCGATTACCGAAAGCGGAAACCAGTTGAGCTTCGTCTGTATCCACATCGATAAACTACAACCTAAACGGTCTGTGAAGAATACAGATCCCGATAAGCGATACGTGAAAAGCGTTATCCGGATGCATCCTGTTCTATTCTCTGCTGAAGTTACTGTTGCTTCCACCTCGACGCCGGGTGGATAGGTTCGTTCCTTCCCTGGGGATTATGGATCCATCCATCGAACAAGAAAAGCAAGTTAAGACCCCCAGGCGGGAAGGACTTCGATTTGACTTGCTCCCTCATTCATTTATGTTCGTTTCTCCGGCCATAAAACTGTAATATCATTGCCGTCCTATTCCTAGCAAATGACATAGACTGTCAAGTCGCTCGTTAACACCACACTCGTTTTATAAAAGCTTGCCTTCTCTCTTACTCAGCTATTCTGCGTCTTCGAAACTGCAAATTGAGTTTATTTACCTTCTAACCTGGTATCCTCTTTAATGCTGCAATCTCTGCTTGGAATGTTGCAAGCGACCTTGCCCGTCTCTCTCAAGCGCAGTGCGTCCTCTTCGCTAGTGTGTGAAGCTGAGCCAGCACAGTCGACCGCAAGATCAACAGACCCTGGCATCTCGCAACGGTTCTATCGATCAGTAGAATGTGAAAGCCGACATGAGACAGCCGAGTTCCCCGACCAAACGCTAGCACAGTCACCTGCCGTCCCGCATCAAGAGTCGCTCGAGCATACACGGGAAACAGCACTGCATACGCTATCACTTTGTCGCAATGTGATTGCTAGCCTCGAGATAACCCGACTCAGCAAGTCTCGAACCGGGCTTCATTACTGGCTGGGTTTTTGGGACCGAATCTATGGCCGACAATTCTCTCGTTTACTTGCCTCTCGAGTGACCAACACATTAGCCAGGATCGATGCGCTGTTTCGTGCAGTCTCCGGCGACCTTCATGAGCTCACACGGCGAATGCAACATGCTGTCACCTATGCTACATCGGAGAAGGAAATCCTCCGTCTCCTTGAGCGAATGGAAGACGAAGTCAGTGTACGTCGAAAGCGGAGACGGAAGAAGGCACAGATTATAATGAACAAACTACGTGCCAGCCTCGAAGCCGTTCCCATTAAAGTTACGGATGAGCTTTTTGATGACTTGAAGCGCGGTGTGTTTGCCTTGGATGTATTTTGTGATTACCACCCTGGCGATCCCGAGGCAGAAGAGCATGAACGCCAGGCATTACAACCAATGAATATGGTGACAGTATCGCCGTACGTGCAACCGTGGCACGAATCAGCAGCGGCTGGAGCGTACATGCCTCTATCAGCATACACGGAGATCCATCCGGACTGGACGGAGTATGCAGGGGACTGGATGCATAGGGTAGATTATCGCAGTCGGCAACCTCCTCCAAACAATCCTGCGGCGCACCATAGGTAGATCGAGTCTAATTCTGGGTGCAGAATTTGAAATGACGGTCCTGGATAGATTTGATCATCTCCTACAGTGGCCGCTCACGGTCAGGTTGACCCATGGCACCAATATTGTTCTTATAGATTAGACCGCAAACTATTGTGATTCATGCTTTGATGGCAGATAGATAAACTTAACTTTTAATGACTTTTTTGAACCCATCCGTGTCCCGCCAAAATCTAATTATGTACGCTAATAAATGTCAAGTCTAAAAAAAGGCACAGCCGTAGAAATAAACAGTATATACTTTGCCCATCAAGCAAAATCCCACAATCCTCGGACAAAGCTACCAGGACCCGAATCCTGGCCACCATCTTCCTCCAACAACCGATCCGTGAAGATCCGCCTCGGTATTTGATACTCCACCACCGGCGTCCTCTTGAACGGCTTGTCCTCAGTCCCCAGCTCTCCCTGCAACATACCCTGGTAAGTGTAATCCAAGAAATCCTCCAAATTATAGAATTGTTTCGTGAACTGCTCAGAAATAATGTTTGCAATAGCAGCCACATTAGGATGATAATGAGACTGAAGAGTCTCGATTTCCCATAAACTGCTCTCGATGGCGTTTGTGCGGGTCGGATCGGGCTCAGTAGGATCAAAGGGATCATCCATGCCCTCTGCTTCTATCTGAGCCTTGAGCCCTTCGTCGCGAATGTTGCGGTGCATCATGAAGGCGCAGGTAGGGTGTTCTTTGAGGAGGTTGTACATGAAGGGTACGATGGCCACGATGGCAGTCGGGGGCGCGTTGAGAGAAGGGCGAGAGAGACGCTTGAGGAAGCTAGCAATCAGGGCGGCGGGCAAGTGGGTAGAGGCGAGGAAGGTGTTCATGAGACGGAAGAAGCGGGAGCGGTGCTTGGAGTGGAGGAGGTCGGCGTCGAGGAGCGAGTAGAGCTTTTGGTAGAATTGGGGGTAGTCGAGGTTCTTCTCTTGGATGAGGTAGAAGAGACCCGAGAGGGCGAGGAGGGAGGTGGCTCCTCCGACGTTGTAGGAATCTGTTAAGAAGTCCATGAGGAGTTCGGGACGGTTGAACCACGGCTCGATGTTGTGGACCATGATGCGCAGGAGTGTTTTACGCTGCGATTGGGAGAGGTTGTTGCGCAGGATGGCGAGCCAGGCGTCTTGGGCTCGTTTCTTGTGCGAGTTCACGGAGAGGACCTTTTTGTTCTGCTTGCTGGATTCGGTGTAGAAGCTTTCGAATTCGTGCTCCGGGCCTGGTACGGAATCGCATGCTGAGAGTATGGAGATTAGGACGTCGAGGGTCTCGGATGTTTGTTCGGTGTCTGCGTATTCGCTGTTTTATGTGTCAGTGGATTTGGACTGCTGTAAAGGCTCCTTTTCGGTTCTGTGCAGTTGGACATACGCAAGCTGCATGAATGTGTAGTACCGCACGTCTTCGAATTCCTTTGTCTTCTCGATGAATTCGGAGAGCACTGCTTGTCCGTTCTTGGCTTCAACAACCGCCTCGAAAATTCCCTTGAATAAGCCCGATGTCCATTCCTGAGTATTGTCGCCGGGGAGGTGGGTGGCACGTTCGTTGATGAGGCACAGGCACAAGGTCAAGGCGCTGATCTGCTGGGTGTTAGTACCGTGTAATTATGGCCAGTTGGAATATATACGGACCTGAGATGAGGAGTCAGATTCGCGAATGATGGACAGCAAGAGCTTCTGGTATTCCCGGCAGCGTTCTTTCAACCAAGCTACAATGATTTTCTCATTCTCTGCAGCGCGACTGGTCTCCGTCAAGTTCCCGCCAGCAATCAGACGACTGAAAACCCGGCAAAGGGCAACGGCAACAGCCATGTTCGGTTTCGACGAGCCATCGACATTGAGCATGGAAATCAGGGTCGCAATGTTGTTGTAGTATTTTCGCGACTCGGAAATTTGGTCTTCCAGCTGCTGTATATCGGCAATCGCATTGGGGCTCTCAGTCTCAGCGACTGCGCGGCGCTTGGAGGAGGGAACAGCGCTCGACTTGACATTTTTCCTCTTCTTGGAGGTGACTGCTGCAGTCGTAGGGGCAGGCATGGTCGATAGAACTGCAGATATCGCGCAAAATCGGGGAGACTTGATCGACAGGCAGCACAGCAGTTCCGACATCAACCATGAATTTTTGGAGATCCCTCGGTTAGCGGTTTTTCCGCCCACTGGCGCTATGCCCGAGCGGGTTAGAGTCTTCCGCACCGTCCCAACCGCCATCCCGACCTCAGTCTCCTCATTTCCGTTCATCCATCACATCCTGTCAAGGTCTGAACACTGCTACAATGGCTTCGCGTTTGGCTAAGAGCGCCCTTGGTATGCCGAACTAGACTCTTTTCGGCTTGCTTTATCAACTGGCTATGATTGTTAACGCCCCCTAGGTGCTGCCCGGCTCCGGCCGACCCTTCCCACGCGCAACGTCGCTCCCATCACTGCCACCTTGACCGCGTCTCGCTCGGTCTCCAACGTTCCCACCGAGGACCCCAAGAAGAAGGCTCAGTCCATCATCGATGCCCTCCCCGGCAACTCCCTGGTTTCCAAGACCGCCGTCCTCTCTGCCGCTGCCGGTATCTCCATCGCTGCCATCAGCAACGAGCTCTATGTTATGAACGAGGAAACCGTTGCTGCTTTCTGTCTTCTCAGCGTCTTCACTGCCGTTGCCAAGTACGGTGGTCCTGCTTACCGTGAGTGGGCTGAGGGTCAGGTTCAGAAGCACAAGGACATCCTGAACGCTGCCCGTGCCGACCACACCAACGCCGTTAAGCAGCGTATGGAGAACGTCCAGGAGCTCTCCAGCGTTGTTGAGCTCACCAAGCAGCTGTTCGCTGTTTCCAAGGTACATTCAGATCCTTTCCATACTTATCCGATCGAAACGTGGTCGGGTTAGCGGACGCAGGAAGCTAATGGTATATAAAGGAAACCGCTCAGCTTGAGGCCCAGGCCTACGAGCTTGAGCAGCGCACTGCTCTGGCTACCGAGGCTAAGCAGGTTCTCGACTCCTGGGTTCGCTACGAGGGCCAGGTTAAGCAGCGCCAGCAGCGTGAGCTTGCCGAGAGCGTCATCGGCAAGATCCAGAAGGAGCTTGAGAACCCCAAGGTTCTCCAGCAGATCCTTCAGCAGAGCGTTGCTGATGTTGAGCGTAAGTTGATTACTTGTGAGCAGCATTCTTTTTGATACAATGCTTACGACTATTTACAGGTATCATGTCCTCCAAGGCCCAGTAAATGGACTAGCATGATTAGCCCCGCCGTCAGCCTATGTACAAATTAAAGATCTTTTCTGTTGTCATTAGACATACCAATACCAATGTGGTCAGTTTAAGAGACGTATACTCGAGTAGCTAGACCTAGGTCTGTCGGTCTACATCCGTATTAGAGCTTTGCTCGATGAGCTCCTGAAATCTGCTGCCATTGTGCCATGGAGAAATATGGCTCGCACCAAACTGTATATTTTGTAGTTGAATGCTTTTAGCATCCAATAGTATGCTATTCCTACTCCTACTGGGCTTGTACTATATGTCTCTGCTGTTCGGCAATTCCAGCATGTGGTGGCTCCAGGACGACGGTTTTGGTGGTTACTATGCAATTTGATATGATGCATCAACAAGCCAACACTGCGGTGGAGTAGCTGGGCTGTGCCCTGCAGGGCTGACGAAAGTCATCTGCTGACGACAATTTTCAAGATTCTTATTATCAAATCCGTCTTCTTTCTTCTACTGGAACATGAAACCCCTACGAAGCCACTGCGGCTGTGGTTGTTGGAGTGGAACAATGAGGGACACTCTTTCACTTGAAGGGAATTCATCATTCAGGACATTAACCAGGGGTGTCGTGTGGAGCATCCACGACAACCACCGCCATCAATTCACAACGCTCGTCCAGCAGCATCAAACCAATCAGCCAGGCGCAGTTGCTCAAGTCTTTATGTGTGACATGACAAGATGAAGAAATTGCCGCCGCGGAGGCCAAGACGCAAGCCAAACCACGGTTTGGCTGTGATTTGAGGAACGATAAAAATAACCATGACAGGCAATCCGTCATCAAACAAAGTTCACAGCCTCAACTCAGCGCCTGTGCCCTGCCACCATCCTTGTATAAGGCTGAAAAGTCTGTTATTTCAAGCCTTGATCCCCTCTCACAGACTGTCTTCTCCGAGTCCTCTCCTCATCATCTTCTCCCCATCTTTCTTAACGGTTGTGGCGCTGAGTCTCCACCCTCCGCGATAAGCCGCCGCGAAACGATGCCACTCCGCGAGATACTTCACAAGAAGGACGCCCTCAACAACACGGCGGACCACTATGCGTCTAACGCCGTACCCACGACATCCGGGAGAAATGTGCCTCAGATCACCTTTATCCGAACCGACACAACCTCACAAGAAGTTATACGTCCGCCTGTCTTCGACGGAGATGCCGATCACCCCGACGATCGATATCTAGAACCCGTTCCTCCCTCTCCTTCGCATCGCATTTCGTTGAATCCGTTCCGTCGCTCGCGTGCGCCCTCAGAGTCCTCGGGTACAAACTCACCAACGCGCCCGCGCGGAGAAAGACGGCTGACGCACCTGCTGCACTTGGATCGCTCGGGGTCGCGGAACTCCAGCTCGTCATCAGTCAACGTCCCATCCGACCTTCCGCAGATCGACTGTGATAGAGGCGATGAGCAAGAAAGGGAGGCACAATGGGAGAAGAGGGCCACTGTACTGGCGCAGCGCAGCCCGCAGGCCGGAGTTTCGTGCCTGTCGCCTACTTCACCGACAGGCTTCGGATTGGATGGCGCCCCATCGAGGTCGCGGAGTTCTAGTCGGAGCCGGATAAACGATCCAGTAGGGGATGTGAGTGGTCAGATTGCGTGACCTCAATGTATGGCATCTAACTGTGGCATAGATCAATGTACAAGAGGCGATCCGACTTCATGAAGCTGGAGGTATGGACATAACTTTGAGATTGGCTGTCCGCTTGCTCAGTTGCTTACATCTGGATTACAGAGCTCGAACAGTCGACAAAGATGTTTGAGCACCTGGCGGATCCTAACGGTGCCAACAATGCACTCAGTCAAGTGCTCTATGGGCTAGCACTCCGGTAAGTAGCAACCGTACCTTTGTTGAGCTTCGTTTACGCCCGACTCCTATCGTAGGCTGCACATTTGGTGGACACTATTGCTACGTGATACTGATTTGGGCTTGATATAGACATGGTTGGGGCTGCTCGCCAGATCCTGATAGAGCCGTCATGTATCTCTCGGCCGCAGCGTCCAACTCGGCATCGATAGAGTCCCAGGCGCTCCAGGCCGGCATCAAGAAGGGCGGGTCTGCCAAGGGAGAGTTAGTGTTGGCCATTTTTGAGCTGGGAAACTGCTTCCGCAACGGCTGGGGTGTCAAGAAAGACCCAGTCGCAGCGCGACAATACTTCGAAACGGCAGCCAATCTGGGCGATACCGACGCGATGAACGAGGTTGCTTGGTGCTACCTAGAAGGGTTTGGAGGGAAAAAGGACAAGGTTAGTACTGCTTGCGTAATGGACCGTTCGTGATGATTATCTCGACATGATCTGCCCGTATCCCGAGGGCCTCGCAGCTCGGGCATCAATGCTTGAAGCCCGCATCACTCTTTGGATCCAGCGGTGCTATCTGATCATCTGTCGGAGCAGTTGACTGACTCGCAACCACCATGTTTTAGTTCACGGCCGCCAAATACTACCGATTGGCCGAAGAGAAAGGCAACAAATTAGTGGGAAATTCCTGGTGCGTTAAATTGTCCCTTTTCAGCGTTGCATTTTCATTGTTTGATGCCCATTTCTGGATCCTCCACGGGGCCAGTGTGACGAGCATTGCCTCAGACCCCAGCGCTCTGCATCCGGCTCTCCTCACTTGCAGGTGTTGTTGCGGGATGCATTGATAGGCGCTCGGAGTTTCCGCTTCCCTGCGCCATGCAAACCAGCGTCACGCTCTCCGCCAACCAGAGCCCCATTTCCCCCCATCAGCGGGTTTCTGGAGTTTAGGCTGACATGATCTTGTTCAACGACAGGATATGGAAGGACAAGTACAACCCGCACTGAACCGTTAGGGCTGTGTACCTGCTGTTTCTACTTTCTCTACGACCTTTCACCCGCACCGTCCCATCAGATGACGATGGCGTTTTGGACCGAGCTGAAGCAAGGCTAGAATGCTTCCACTTTACTTAGTCGGCTTCTTGCGGCCAGACGCCCTTGTCCTTCCCAGTTCGTATCCAGGCTTTGGGACACGGGCCCCCTTACCTACTACCGTTGCCGATTAATTTGCTTCCATTCTTCGCTACCCTCACCATGAAGGGAACGGCAGCGATGATGACCCAAACCTCCAGCCTCATCTTTCTTCCTTACTGACACCCAATCTCAAAGCGTACTTTTGCTTGCTTCCCTTCCCCCGGATGTTCATACTACTTCCTTTCTTGGACTTTTCTTCTTCTGATGTTACATACATGCATACATACCCACTCTGTCTGTGCCACAGCACAGAAAAAAATAATCGCTATCATTATACCGATACCCACACACCCTCTTCTATCCTCCTAGGACCCACAAAGTACCTTGCATTGAGTAACGTGTATGTGCATAGCATAGCGTCGCTTCGCATCATGTTGTTTGCGTTCGCCCGGCTTGCATGGTCGCAGCTACATCCTTTACGGAGTACTCTAGTCTCACCTGTCGCGTTGCATATGTAGCTACAAGGTAGACTGCTACTAGCGTAGGTAAATTGGTAGGAAGATACGTAGTACTGTTTACTGCCTGAACTATATGCATTAATCAATCAGTACATCAAATATATAATTAATTGCCTGATATGATATAATATAATCAACCAAAGTAGACATCATAATTAGTAATTTGTTGATTAATGCACACCACCAGATACCATATCCATTCCCATGTTGTCATCAATGACGACTATGCACATAGCATAACCACCAACACAACAACCCTACCATCCCAATAAGCGCACAAGCCCTTGAACGTGATGATAGACGGACTTCAAACCCCTGCCTGCGAGGCGGAGTTTATTCCCACAAGAAATGTAGCGCGATTGTAGTAGTTGTACTTTCCCTCCAGCGACGGTCCATCCATCTATCCAGAGTAGCGTATCTATATACAGCTTTGCCAAGTTCACGCTTGGATACTATACTGTGTTTGCAACCCCTCAACCCTTGTATTTGGTACCGAGTGCAATCTCTTAGCGAGATGAGATTCTCCTCAAGCCGACCATGGTCGTCGTTCCCGTATTGATGACTTTGAACGTCAAGGTTCTCATATGGGTGGTATTCCATGCAAGGTTATGATTTACTTGACTTAGGAAGGAGACGAGGCACGACACCCTGTGCTGTTATTGATTATGGCTGGTCAAATGGCGTCGCGCAGCTGCTGTTGAGTTGAAGTACATGTGGAATTGTCTCTGAGGTTGTACCATGTGGTAATTCTGTCTGAAGGTTTGTAGAATCGATGCAAGGAAGGAGGTTGGGGATGTTCTCTGTTCAATGAGAGATAATTTCCCTCGGGTAAGAAGGGAAGAAATCGGGTTAACATGATACCATGTGTTGTTTAGGAACGTAGCTGGCGAATTGGCTTCCGCGCAGCTGCTGTCGAGGTTGATGTGGAATATCTTGTAAGAGTCGTAGTTATCTTGTTCTTGAGAGTTTATATGTTGACTTCAAGGAACTAGCTTGACGGATTTAGTGGGTGTCTTTTCTTCTGTCGGTTGGATCAGGTTGGAACCGTTATTGGAGTCCCATGTTTCTTTCATTATGCTGGAGTAGCACTGTTAGAGTTATAATATAGGATGAGGAGATGGACCCTTCTTTAGAGTAGTCTTCTGGGTGTGTGTTGGCACAAGGTGAGAGGGTGCTTGAAAGGTTGGATGGATGACTCTTTCTTTCTGATGGTCGGGTGAGCTCGAAGTAGTCGTGTCTCTTCCGATATTCTGGAGCTATATTGTTGGACATTCTGTCCAGTATGCGAAGATGGTCTTTCCGTCTGAAGTGTCTTCTAGTATGTGCGTTGACACAAGGAGCTGGATTGGTAAGTCGGATGGATAGGATCTCTGTCGGTTGCTTGAGCTCGAGATAACCATGTCCATTTCATTGTGCTGGAATGATACTGTTGGAATTGTAGTATGAAATGGGAAGATAATCTCTTCCGGGGGTGTGTTCACATAAGATCAGAAGACGCTTGACTGTTTTGACAGACGACCATTTCTGTCGGTTGGGTAGTCTTGAAATAGTCGTGTCTCCCTCATCAATGTGCTGTAGTAATATTATCGAAAGTATATGGGGCGATGCTGAATTCCTCGAGACATAAGTGTCTTCTGCGTGTGTGCATGTGAGAAAATGATGAAAGCAAATACAAAGTAGCAGAAATCACTTTAGATACTGTAAGGGAAGGTGCCGCTCGTTTCTGTCATCTTTGAGCTTCTTAATAACTTCCTGCTAACTTATTCTCCTTGCTCATCGGCAATTGAGTCTTAGATCCCGTTCTGACTTTCAGCAGGCAGCGCTTCATCATCTGATATTATTAGAATAGCTTTTCGAGACCCGGTGTCTCCAGAATGGTCTGTCGTTGAAGCTTTCCTCCTAGTCGCTGGAGTAGTTTTGTATTCCTCTCCAGTTGGGCCGATCTTGTTATTGAGCATCCTTCGCGTTGAAGGAAGGCAGAGGGATAACATCTTTTATCTTCTTCTTAGATTGACCCACCACAGGTAGGCATATTAACAGCCAGTGGACTAGAGAATATCATGCCTATGCTCATGTCGTATATGCAATTCTTCATCGACTTCCTTCATCGACTTCTTCGAGACGATTGTATGGGACCATTCACATATGCAAGATGGCATGTGGTCAAGGAGTCCCCTTAGGTCTTGTAAGGGAGTGTAGACGGTAAACATCCGGTGTCGATGTTCTGTTCCACAGAATTTAACATGCGTCGGAATAAGAGACCAGCAACATTCTCTGCGCAAATCTCCATTCTCCTCCTCAACCGGGGTAGGAAAAGCAATATACTCTTGTCTGATGATTTGTACCGCATCAAGACCGTCAGATTCTTTCAACCACCAGACAGGCAGTCGACGCACTTGTTCCAGGTGTGATCAAGACGAGAGTAGCATCGTATATAGCAATGACCCCGTACGTTGGCTTGAGAGCTTTTTCCTCGGTGGGCCATTCTTTATTCGAGAAGCGGTCCAAGTGCTGCTCAACGTGGATCGTTCGATAAAGGACAACCCCAATTTCGAGAGAAAGATTTTGCTGGTAAATATATAGGCTAAGAGGTGCAAGTCTTCTAGCTCCGCCAGCGCTATATCGGAGAAAGGTGTGACTGGCCATTTGCTTCAGAAACTGACTTTCCTCCGGATCTGACTTTTAGCCATCATTGCACGAATGTATCGTACAGCGCCCAGACAGCGTTGGCTGATGGATTTCGTCGCATCCATCACGCTTCTGGTGTACCAGAAGCAGGAAAACCAGTGGCTTTCTGTCAGCTGCAGACAGGCAGTGGAAGAACACCAATTTGAACTGGTTGAATCCCAGGGGAGATGTTCCGTAGACATACCCTTTGTCTGCTTCGTCTAAGCCATTCCTTGAACACACCCGGCATTCGGAAACGGTACCGGGAATAGGAAGGACGCAGTCCTGCTTCGCGAGGAAAAGCTAGTGACCCTGAGCTTCGCGTATCAAGCAGACGATGCCCACATCTGCTGGCAAATTCCATTGGCAATGAGGTGTGAAGGGTACTGACAACGAAGAGGCATGCCTTCAGTACCGAGGCATCAATGCCGGTGCACAGGAAAATCGTGCACCAACCTCCACTATCGCTCATGGGCGATATCTCCTTCGGATACAGAGGAAGATTTCCTTCTCATCCGGAAATTGTTCCTTCTTTGGCAGTGGAACGGACGGGCTGATCCCAACAGCGAAGGATTGCTTCGTGATAGCATATCCAAGGGGTATAGAGGTGACCCAGTCAGATTGCGGAAAATATAAAGGGCGTGTTAAAGTGGGGAGCTGGAAATGAAGCGTTCATTGATGGCCTGTACCTTGGCCGTATAAATCATCTTCGGTTGCTTTCGGTGGTGTACGATGCGTCCATTGCTCGGAGTAATGTGCTTGCTGGCCATAAGCCGGATCTTGCATGACGGGGATTAGCTCTCGTACACATGCATGCTCAAGGGCACAATACGCAACCATTCCGGAGAGATTTGTCGTTGCCTTTTGAAGCTCCCAGTATGAGCTGATGACTGACGATGTCGAGGAACGCTTCATTTGAGGAGTGGAAGGTGAGCTAATATCCCAGAGGCATTTGAAGATACGCAGGCTAGTGCCTCGGATGTATTAGGGATAGTATCGTACAAATTGGCTCTGTCCAGCGCGTCAATGTCTTTGGCAGCACTGCTTGCCAGCACGTTTTTGCCCTGTTTTCGTGGATCTTGTCCAAGGCGAAGATTTGATGGTAAGATAGGATGATGTCCATATTGACTGGAATTTCGGTGGTTGGCATGATTGAGTACCGATGGGCTGTCGTTAATGCCTATTGCAGCCATATTGAACGCCTTTGAAAGTATCAGCTGATGCGCTTGGCGGGGTAAGTAATGCAAGGTACGTACGTCGAAGCTTGCTAGAACACGAAGCTGAATTGTTGTTCACATTGAGTGAACAACAAGTCTTGGTCACAGGGAACAAATGGTACTTTCATACCGCCAGCCACTGCTCGAGCAGTTGCCAGAGGAAGCGAGTGAGTATGTAAATCTAAGGCATTTTGACTGCCTAAACCGACATTGACTCTTTCCTCTTCTGCGTCGCTGACCGATTAGTCTGTTGGTATTGATCACAGAGACAATCACCCAGTCTACTCGTCACGCAAACGAGACAACATCGCAGTGTCGTAGCTTGAATAACACCATCGTATATATAAAAGCATTAAGAGGGATTGTCTGCAAGCTCCTCTTTATCGTTAGTCGATGGTTTAATACGCATGCAACTCGTCTTGTTGAATGCAGTCGTAGACAAGGACTCCAAGAACGCGTAACGAAGTGATCGAGTAGCTCATTGCTGGCTTGAAAGACTCCAATGTATCCAGAATAGTTGCTCCTTTCAATATTGCCTTGGTTGACCAGTCGCTTCTTGAAGCCATCCATAACTGTATCTGCTTGGGAGTGATTTGGCAACGGAACCAGCAGGCTGTTTTCAACGGTGTAGCCCGTTTTGGAGTGTG